CACACACACACACTCACAATGGAATAGGCTACAAAATAACACGCGCATGTTGGTCTGTTGTGCGCAGGCGGCCATTGCCGGGTGGCACGGGCAGCGGGGGCACGGGCGAGGGCCTCCACACTTTCACACCACAAACTCGGGGATAATATTCGCGCTACTATAAAGGCCCTTCTTCGGTCCCGTACGAACCTGCCACTCCGACGGGCCGAAAGGCTCGCCAGAATTCCTCACCCCGCCCTGGGGGGCTCGACAGCACAAACACATTGCCCCCGGGTCCCCGAGAACCCCCGCGAGGCCGTCTCGCTCTCAAGACGACCCGAGGGGCACGCTCTGCCGATCGTCGTCAGCCCCCAGCTCTCCAAGCAGGGGCGCCCATCCGCCCCGGGACTTGGCCTTCTCGCACCGGCCGGCCGGGCCGGTGACGCCACCGCCGTGTTCCAAGGGCAGACACCCCATCCCAGGGTCTGGGGCTTGTTTTTTTGTTTTTTGTTTTTTCGCAACCTGCTCCCCGCATGCCAGAATCACCGACATGTGCACGCCTCCCCCCCCCCCCCGGCCACACCGCCCCCCTGAAGAGCAAGGACATGCATGGGGCCCCCTCCACTTGCCCGTCTCTTCTCGGTCCCGGGCCGAAGCCCTGCCCATGCCCGGCGCTTCCCCGAACTAGCGCAGCTCCCTTGGGCCTGCTCTTGCCCGGCGGGGCAGCCCACAGATGCCCCAACCACGGACCTGCCCGAATCCGGTCCAGACCTTCCCGCGCGCCGCCCCCCCAACGCCCGAGGCGCTCCCCCCCCCCCCCCCGTTGACGGCTAACCAACCGGGACAAGGGAGGGGCGCAGTTGCCAAGACCAGCCGCCCTGGGGCGAAGGGCGGGGAATGCCCGGGCAGCTCAACACACGGGGTCAAGGACCGGGGGACGCGGGGGGACGGGAGGGGGGAGGGGCAACCGGAGCCCCAGGTGCGTGCGGTGTGTACGCACGCACACCCACCCACCCAGACACATACATCCGCAGCCACGCAAACATGCGCACACGCGCTGTGGCGAGGCCCGTGCCAGGGCCCCCGGCCCTCGGCTCCGGGGAGGAACGCTGGCCACCGCTGGGCCTTTCGGAAGGGGCCGGTCCCCGGCACGCCGGTCTGTCTCGGGCGGTTGGCCGACGGAAGGCCAGTTCCGACGGGAGGCCAAATCGGGCAAGGGTGCCAGCCCCTGGAGCGATGGCCGGCTCCAAACACCATGTCTCAGCCGCATCACGCCCGCGGATGAGCACATGATCCAACAGACAGACCAATCACACCGCGATCGCTGAGGCGGCCGGATCTCACGTAACTCACGCACACACAGGCATCTCTTACGAGGCATCGGTTTTTATCCTTTTGCACACCATCATACGCGCAATACACAAGTATTTATATCCCCCCTGCACGCATGCGCGCGCAGCGCATCGTTCACTTCTCGCCACGAACGGGAGGAGAGGCAAATGTACACGGGGGAAAGGAAAACACGACACGGGCGGCAGACATGGCCGGGAGAAGTGGCCCTCCCTCGCCGGGGAGGGGCCGCGTTGACCCTTTGCCAGCATCATTCACCAGGCGCCGATGTGCTTCTGCCTCTGGTTTCCGGGTCCTCCCCCCGCCAAGATGGGGAGGGAGGGCGGAGGAGGGAAGGTGAAGGAAGCACATGAGGGGAGGGGAGGGGGGCACCTACTTGCGAATGTTGACCTTGATGAAGGGGAAGTCCACGTCCTCGTCCGTGTCGTTGTCGCTGGCCGACAGAATGAGCACCACCGAGTGGATGTGGTCCTCGACCTGGGTGTTTTCCCCACCATTTTATCGCACACACGCGCGGCCACACGGAGCCCATTGGGAGTGTCAGTATAGAGGTCTTCCTTGTCCTAATGATGCCCACAGAGGGGGGAGAGTGATGGCGCCGGCACCCAGGCAAAAAGACAGGCAGCAACAGGCCCACGTTGGAACCCCGCCCGGGGGAAGAAAAGGAATGGAGGAAACAGAACACAGGAACAGAAACCCCCCCCCCCCCCCCCCCGCTACCCCCTCGCCGGACAGGAAGGGCAGCCAAAGGCCGGCCACGCACCGGCTTGTGGAGGACCTCCTCCAGGACGTCAGTCAGGCGGGCCTTCAGGCGGGCGGCCTGCTTCTTCATGTCCATGAAGATGGCATACAGCATGGACACACCGGAGCTGATCATGAAAATGCTGACATTGTAGTCGCGCTCGATCTGGGTGTTGATCTCCTCGATGGTGGGGTTGCCATTGATCTCAATGCAGTCCCACAGGGTCCAGGAGTGCTCGCGGAACTTGGTCACCGCCGGGGCCACCGGCTCGGAGAAGGTCACGAAAGGCAGGGCCAGGTTGATGAAGGCATTCTTGTAGGCCTCGATGTTCTTCTCCTGGCGGATGACCTTCAGCGTCTCCAGGCAAATGAGACCGGTCACCAGGGCCGTGGTGGTGGCAATGGCCGGGATAATGCGCCCGGCGATGCCCTTGATCTTGTGACGATCGGCATTCTGGATGCCATAGTTGGACGCCCGGAGGTTGGCCACGGCCGTGACAAAGTCAATGTGGAAGTTGCTGTCATCGTCCTTCTCGAACTCCAGCGGCGAAACCTCAACCAGGTCGCCCAGCGACGAGGGGGCCGGCAGGCCGGCCGCCTCGGTCAGCAGCCGCGACATCTGGTCCTCATTGAGGGAGCCACCGGCCGCCTCGGCCTCGGCAGCCGCCTCGCTGTCCACGGTGTGGATCTTGACATTGCTGGCCGGCACGAACTCCGGCACCACCACCGCATCCAGCAGAATGCGATACCCGGCGGCCGTGGTGCCATGCGTGCCGCCGGCCTGGGCCAGCGGCTGCTCCACCTCATCCGGCACCGGGATGCCGAACACCTGGGCAATCAGCCGCGAGGCGGCCTCAATGAAGGACAGGTGCGAGGGCTCGGCCGGGTCGAAGACCAGCGGCGTGGGGCAGAGCTTGGGCGCCGTCCAGAACAGGTGCCCATTGCTGGTGACCGCGTCCGGCGGGAAGTTGAACAGCAGCTGCTTGATGTTGTTGGCGAAGTGGTGCTCAAACTGGTGGCGCGCCCAGGCGACACACCCCTCGAAGGTGGTCGGCCGATCGGCACGCAGCAGCCCGGCAATCGAATCCAGGATGTCCTTGAAGCCGGCCTCCTCGGACATGTGCTCCACATACTGGCGCAGGATGTCCGCATCGGAGGCGGCCCCAGGACCACCGGCCGCGGCCAGGGCATTCCGAGTGAACTTCAGGAATTGGTTGACCTGCTGCGGGCCATTGGCGAAGACCCCCTCGAACAGGTCGCGACCCCATTGGATGGTGTGCTCAATGGCATTGGGGAAGTTCTTCAGCGTGCAAATGGCGATCGAGGCCTCCGGCGGGTCCTGCGAGCTGCTGTAGGACTCGGTGATGTCCGGCAGGACGACCTGGGTGTTGCCCCGGGTGCCCAGGGTGCCGGACTCCATGAGCGGCTTCCGGAAGAAGACACACCGGCGGTCCACATACCGCCGGGCTTCCATGTTGTCCAGGGCATTGGCCACGCAATCGATGTTGGCGAAGAACTCGTCGCCGAAGATGTGCTCGGTCTCCTCGCCCACGCGATCGGCCATCGGGTGGATCTTGCCCTGCAGGTCGGGGTTGATGGAAGCCGCGGCGGCCGCCGCGCAGGCGGACTTCAACTTGCCGACATCCTGATTGCGGAAGAGGAACTGCCGGTTGAGGTTGCTCCGCTCGATGGTGTCCATGTCGGTGACGGTGATCGAGCCGCCCGGGCCCGAGGCAATGCCCATGAGGGCCCAATTCTTGAGCATCTCACAGCCAATGGCCCCGGCACCGACCAGGAACAGCCGATACCCGGCAATGGTCTTCTGCATGGTTTGACCGAAGATGGCAATCTGGCTGTCATACCGGCTGCCAACCGGGGCACACTCGGCCTCGGTCAGCCCGGGGGGAACCGCCTCCAGGGCATCGAAGAACAGCCACTGGGAAATGGGCGTGAACTTGCCGGAAGTGGCCTTGAGCACCTCCTGCGCGACAATGCCACCAACCGTGCCGCACATGGGGGCCGTCGCACCGGCATACTGGTAGGCAAACTGCCGGAGGAGATCGGTGTCCGGCTTCCACTCGGTCAGCCCATGGTCGGTGGCCACCGCCTGGCACAGGGCCACCAGGGTGTTGGCATCCTCCTCATTGCGAGGGCGCGGCATGCGGCCGTGCTCCTCCACAAACCGGTGCCCCGCCTGGAAGGCGATGTGCAGCTGCTCCGGGCGGTCCATCTTGGCGAAGTCCGACACCAGCAGGTCGACCCCCATGCAGGGCAGGGCAGTGAGCTTGGCGCGCAGCGGCTCAAAGTGCATGGTCACCGGCATCTTCACCTCGATGGCCATGCCGCCACCCTCATAGGCCGGCAGGCCGCTGGTGTCGCCGATGGAGAAGGTATCCGGCGAGAGGACCTTCACCGGCCGGGGGGCGCAATCATTGAGGGCCGTCATGCCGCGCACCCCGCGGAAGGTGACATGGGCACCATCCTCCAGGTTGTGGCGCTGCTCCTCCACACAGGCCACCACACTCTCCTTCTCGGCCGTGATGCCGGAGATGAGGAAGCTGGCCGGCTCATTGCCATTGGGGTCGGTGACCACAAAGGAGTCGCCGAAGTCATTGAAGATGCTGGCAAAGGTGCCGCGCGACTCGGTGACCACGGTGCAGCCGGTGGGGGAGAGCTTGCGCTGGGCCTCATTCAGGGCCAGGGCCACCTTGTGCGACTGGTTCACCACCACCACCACCTGGAAGCGCTTGTGCGACAGGAGGGCCTCGGCCATGGTCGGCTGGGCCAGGGCGTCGAAGGGGAGCTCCGGCGCCGAGTCGAAGACCGACACCTCCACATACGGGTTGAGCTCCTTCAGCTGGGGAAGCGAGGCCTTGGCGCGGGGCTCGCCGATCTCGGACAGGTAGAACTGCGTGCCGAGGTCGGCCAGGGCGGTGGGCGTGTTGTCGAAGAGAGTGAGGGACTTGACACCGGCGAGGACGATGTTCTTGGCTGAGGGGAGGGAGAAGAAGTGCAGGTCAGTTTGC